GCAGTATGTACTCAACATAGTGAGTCTAGTATAGAAAGATGTGATTTGAGCAAAGTATGAGTTTCCATTCATTTCCTTTAGCTTTATGGTTGTAGAAGCATGTACTATCATCATGTGGTATGCGGCAAGAAAGGATAAAGGCTACATAGCTGATGATCTAACTATCCTGAAACTGACACAAATGTCCATCCATCAATTTTCTTTCACTTATCTGGGGCCAAGTCACAGGGGCAACAGCCTAAACAGCGAAGCCCAGACCTCTCTCCCCCCCCGCCACCTCCTCTTGCTTGTTTGGGGGAACACCAAGGCATTCCCAGGCCAGATATAATCTCTATAATATTATCCTGGGTCTCCCAATCAGGGCCTCCTCCCTGTGGGACATGCCCGGAACACCGTCAGATGCCCAAACTACCTCAGCTGGCTCCTTTTGATGTGGAGGAGCAGCATCTCTACCCTGAGCCCCTCCCGAATGGCAGAACTCCTCACCTATCTCTAAGTGAGAGGCCAGATCATCTGCAAAAAGCAGAGATGTAATTCTGAGCCTGCCCAGGTAGAAGACTTCATGGCTACACCTAGAAATTCAGACCATAGAAATTATGAAGAGAATCGGTGACAAAGGGCAGCACTGGTCCAACACCCACTGGGAACAATTCCGTCTTATTGCCAGCTATGGCCTGATTGAATGGCTCGAAGCAACTGGCCAGACACCCCACACTCCCGAAGCACCACCCAGAGAACACTTTGAGGGACTTTGAGGGAGAATGCCTTCTCCAAGTCCACAAAACACCACCACCTGACACCAAATGTGCAGTACAAAAATAACAACAAACACAGGAGGAAGATTATGTAACAACAATGGCAGAGAAACAGAAAAATCTCCTTATTACTATAAGCTGCTAGCTACAGGTATGTAAGCCAATTTTTGCAGTAAAATGTGCAGGTTAACTGACATTGAACAGTTTTTTGTTGCTATAAAAATAAGAGGTGAGTTGAGAATCAGCCTGAGTGTATATGTTTGCACTTACGTGCTATTATGTGTTTATGTTTGCTAAGCTGATTAGCCACATGCAGATGTTCGTGCCTGGTTAAAAGTGTTGTAGTGTAGGGAAAGTTTTAGATCCTCCAGGTAAGCAGTAAAATATACATGGGGATAATGGAGTTTATTCACAGTTATAGGACTATGTATAAAAGATGAATAATGCCACTGTGCTGCCACACGTTGGGTAGTGACGTCCCATTGATAAACATAAAGCTGAGTATTTCATTTGTTATCAAACTGATGTTTAAGACTGGATATGACGAGTGAGCGGCAGCGCTGGTTGGTGGTTCTTAGTTTATCATCCTTTATGACTTTTAGTAAGGACTGTAATTTACAAAATAAATATTTAAATATGTCCCAAAGCTAGCAATTAAAACTGTGAAGTAATCAGGAAAGTGTTTACAGAGGTCGCAGAGCAAATGAGCTGAGGGTCCTTAAACCTTTCCATACAACCAGAAGTCTAAAAACCAATGCATTCATGTTTATGTTCATCATGCCCGGCACCCTCTGGAAATTCATACAAATTGTTGAGTTTCTAAATGTGTCGAGTGTATTTATGTTCTCATAAAACATTAGCAAAGACATATTTTTTACATTTTATTTTTTAGATGATTTCCATCCATGTTTGCTAACCTTTGCAGGCACATTGCTTTGCATAAACCGATTTGTACTGCTGTCAGTTGTTTACGCACAATATAAAGAGCGAGGGGGACTCACATTTATTACTGCCGCTACAAACCAAAACCTCCGCACGGCACCTTTAAACATATTTAGTAATACGCCGACTAAACTACTTTTTAATAGACCCCATTGAACATTCAGTCCAAATCATCCTAGGTTTTCACAGATGTAAGCCAGTCTGACAAACATTTTGAAAACAACATCAGTGAACCCAGCTGCCCCCTGATACTGGTAGAAGAGGTTTGGATCATAACAGAAAATGTGATTCATTCAGCAAGTAGCAGCAGTCACCTTAGTGTACAGAATTACTCTCCAGGCACCTAACTGCATAAAAACATGCAAACACACACACACACACACACACACACACACACACACACCTCCACTCTCTCCCAGAAGCGCAGTTGGACTCCAGTTTAGTGTAAGGTATCTCGTTTCATCCAGCCTCTGTGCTGGGACTGTTTGAAGCAAAGGAAGCTCTTGTGTTTGATGGAGACTTACCTTCTTCCTCATCTCCTCTCAGCTTCCAGAGAAACTTCTCCTCTTTGATGTCTCTCCCTCCTCCACTTTCTGCCTCCTGTCATCCATCTTTCCTTTATATTTTTTTCCCCCTTCTGCCTTCTTTCCATCTCCCTCCCTAAGAAAGTATTCTGTCCATATGGAGGTGGTGGAATTGCATAAAAATGTCGTTTCATAGCCTGCAGGGCCGAGTAGAGACACTAAAAGTTGAATTTAACAGTGGCAACACCTCCCGGCACGGTGTTTCTGGGAGGCTGGTGTCTCATTAGTAATCAGAAAAAAACGTGCAATCAGGATAGAAATCCATCAAGTAGAATTCAATAACCAATTCAAATGATTTTTTTTCTTATGAAAGAACTAGAATAAGTCCTACACAGAGCTAAATATATCCAAATATATTGGATGAAAACAGGCATCGGCAGAAGTTTTTAACAATTCAAGCAGTTGAGACGTGTGTTTTACCCATTTTTGTTGTTGTTGTTTTTACCTTGTAGTAAATGTTTTGTTATTAGTTAAACAGTGATAAATGTATTTTTTCCATATCTTATAGTTCCAGGAGACGTTCCAGTTATTGATTGTGTTTCATCGGTGTACAAGGCTACTTCTTGTGCCAGCAGTGAAGTTACATCAAACTGAGTTCAACAATTGACACAACTGTCAGAACAAACGCTTGAAGATGAAACATTAATTATTGATCTGCTCGACGATTAGTGAAACAGCTTCATCACTCGAGTTGATTGTCTGTGAAATGGCTACACCATCCATTAGCTGCCTGCTGTCTTTCTGTCTGTTTTTTTGAAACCTCATCTCTTTTTTCCCCTTTTTTAAAAAAAAATGTGAATTCTTGCTCTGCGCACTTCTTTGAACCCTCGAGCTCACTATCTGTACTTGGAGCCATTTACTAAGTCTAACCTATTTTCTCTGCTTGATATAGCAGAAAGCTTTTCTGTGTTAGGGGTAAAGGATGCTTTGGACTTGGAAACACTAGGTGACTTATTAGGGTTTGTTTTTTTAACTTAACTACTGTATTTTCTTAAAGGGCTGTCTTCATTGACTTTTACAAAATAGTTGAAAGCACAGCCTGCACTTTATCCTTTCTGCAGAGTCTATAAAGTTCAAGCTCTTTGTTGGTTATCTGGTAAGAGAAGAAAAAAGCAGAGGGATAACTGCTGGTGAGAAAATGTGCAAATAGGAATCACCAAATCAACAAAAACCAAACAGTTGAGTCACAATGCTGAAGCTAACCCTGACTTATAGTCATGAGCGAAAAGAACACGATCATGTATACAAACAGGCAAAATGAGCTTCCTCTGTAGGGTGGCTGATCTCAGCCGTAGGTACAGGGTGAGGAGCTCAGAGCCGTTGCTCCTCTATGTTCAAAGTAGTCGGCTAAGGTGGTTTGGGCGTCTGATTAAAATGGCTTCAAGATACCTCCCTTTGAAGGTTTTCACAGTACGACGAACTGTGGGGCAAACCCAGTGCCTCAGTATTCCCTATAAGAAACTTAAAATAAGACTAGGAACACTTGGAATACTCTGTTTATCTTATCCTGCCTGACTTTAGATAAAAAGAAGAGGGTGGATGAACGACGTAGGAGCTTACTGCCAATCACCTGCAACACTGATGACATTAAATTCTTCCATGGGTCTCCAACACATATTACATGATGGATAATTTCCAAAATAGCCACAACTACACAGAGTTTAGCAAATGAGACCAAATTAACTCATTCTAAAAATGTATATGCTTAATATTTCTAGTTGGACGTTGACTGTATTTGAGTGGGCACTAGAGGCATTTACCCGGTATGTACAGGATGTTATTGGTAAAGCAAAATAGCAGTTTGTTCCTTGTGTGTGTGGATGGTTGGTAAAGTAAAGTACTAGTTCCATCAAGTACTGACAGCAGCATGGCTGCGATCTGCTTATTGGCTAAGGCTGACCTCTGACTTCCCCTTGGAGTAAAAAGGTAGGGTAATTGCTCTCTGCGGAGACCATTACAGCGTTGTACCATCCCTCTGTTAAAACCTGTAAAGTGACCAGTCGGCATTTGCCGATTGGTCACTTTTCTCTCAAGGCCTCTGGAATCTTTTTTTACCAAGAGGAACATATCACTGATTTTCTTTCCCCAACTCTCCACATGTATTTGTGTCAGCTCTGACATCCCAGGGTCATTTTAATCCTGCGTAGATTGGAATGTAGAGTTTAGTGCAATTTTCAACTTGCACACATAGCATCTGTATTACAACGGCCATAAAAAGCAGTAGCGGGGCAGATGGATTAGATTAGATGATTGACGATTCCTGTGGGGAAATTAGATTGCTGCTGCTGCAATAGTAATAGGATTCAGCAGGAGAAGAAGACAAACAGAATATAAGCACACATTCAGAATAGGAAATCAGCAGTGGAAGGAAGGAAGGATCTGAGCATTTAAGCACAGTTTGGTGCCAAGAAAGAAAAACAAAAATCAAAGTGCATCTGGCTCTGCACTGAGGCCATTTGTAGAATTTTGCTAGTTATGTGGGTGTGATGTGTGTGTTACATTGATGTGGTAGAGTCCCAGGATTACCGCAGTCCAAAAAAAGATGACTAAGATTACTTGTGTGCTTGAGCAACCTCAAGCGTCCTATCATACCTGCTTGTATTGCTGTCCAGAGAGAGTTTATGAATTCATCTGCTTGCAACTGCTCCCCTGTGCTTTGGTTATGTAACATCCACAAATTCACCATTACCTCACAGCAACATTTTATCCTGTTTCACAGGTACCTCGGTCGTGACGACGTGGCCGAGGCGTCTCTGAGCAAAGCCCAGGAGGAGGGAGGCAGCGTCCGACTGGTCACAAAGGAGAACTTCTTCACAAAGAGGAGGTCTGCCTCTTCGCTAACACCACCTGCTACACAGAGGTTTGTTAAGGGAAAAAACGCGCACATAAAGGTCAAGTTGTCCTCAGGTCTGTAAGTAGTTTGCTGCTAATATATGAAACTAAAATTCAAATGTATTTCTAGCTGATCACTGTGTTTCTCCTGTCTACTACACAAACGGTATTTTGATCATTCATAGATCCGTTCTTGTCTGTAGTATTTAAAGATGAAACTTCAAGGTCTGCACATGAAGGTGGTTTGTCTCACCACATGGTTTCCTCTTCAGGATTCAGAGTATTTTCATTTTCTTTCCCTCAGCTGTCTCCATGGAGATCTGTATGTGCCTTGTGGGAGAGACACAAAGGCCCACTGAGTGTGTTAGTACAGTAAATATAGACCATAATACGATCTACTGGGTGAGATGCATCGGCCAGCTCACCCCAGGAGGCAATATCTCTATGGAAACCTGCAGCAAACACACAGACGAGCTCTCACACATATACACAGTTACTGGTGTTACATACAAAATGTCTGTGATAATCTATAAAGTGCCTTAAAGGCTCTGTTCAGGATATGTGCTTTTAGACAATAGATAGCGTTTTACTGCATGAGGTATACAGCAGTGTCTGGAAGTATAAAGTGTTTGACAGAAGCAAGCACTGCTGTGTGAATAAACACGGTAAAAGGCAGCATGGTAACAACATTAAATGGCCATTTATAAAAGCTGACTTAAAAAATGTGCTAATATGCTAGTAGCTAGAATAGAAATGGCATCCATCCGTCCAACTAACTGTGGCGTGTGGTTGGAGGGATGAGGAGAATCCATGTTTTCATAAAGTAGGAAGATTGACATCCATCACTGTTATCTATTTAAGCATTCAAGTAAAACTTGTACATAATATTGAACTGCTCCTTCAAAACAACAAATTCAGTTCAGTTCCTGCTAATACTTCCTGCTGGCTGATATCACTTGACGTTTGAACTGTGGCTATAAGTTATACTAGAGTAAAAAAAAAGGACAGCAAGCTCTTAGATTGTAAGGCATCTGCACAAGTCATCTGATGGGAGGCAACCTGTCTCCAAACAGTAGCAGTCTGACTCTGACTGACTGCAATCATTCTCTAAAATATTGGCAATGTTTTCCAAGTAAATGTTGTCCAGTTTATAAACACAGATACATTGGCAACCTGTTGCAATCATTCTGAGTCACTCTGCTCTGATAAGCACAACTGACCGTGAACTAAAGAAACAGACATTTCTGATAACATACATCCGTCGTTTTTTTTTTTTTTTTGTTTGTTTTTTTTGTCCCGTTTGGATCTATAGCCATCAGAATTGTTGTCTTAAGGCCAAGATAGATGCCAAGCGGATTTATTTTACCAAGTGGATCATCATGGCCTTGCCATATTGGTCCATTTGATTGACCTTTATTATAATTATGAATTTATTTTATTTTCAGTTGCTACAAACGGGACAGACATGACTGGGGGATAGGACAGGGAGAAAGAATCCGTTTAAAACAAGCGCATGTCTGGTATTGAAGGTATCAGTTAATCTTAAAGTGTGCCACCTATGCCTGGGCGTGGGCTAAAAAGGAAATCCTGCCATGCAGCATGCGTCACTAGTGTCCATTTTGAAGGGAAACAGTCTTTATATTGCTATCCACATGAAAGCAACATGCTAAAATGTGGAAAATAAGAATCTCGATTAACAGCTGGATGTACCAGTGTCAGATCTCGTTGGTGCCTTTGGTTTCTTTCGGTATAGAGCACCAGAGATGAGCCAAGGTGGTAAACATTCTACATCTATAAACCTACATTTTTGATTCACATGCATTTTTTGGCAAATGCATTGATGTTTTACAGTTTCTAAAAGACATATTTCTGGCTTTTCTGGATGTTTTCACTATTCTCAGTTTGGACACACAAGTAAAAAGTCTATTTGTGTCTCTCTTTCATCGACTAGACTTTGCTGGCACACCATTTGTCCCATGATACTTCCAGTTTTTGGTATATTCTCAACTTTGAAACAGCAAGGTTCCCTTTTTAGAAGGTTCTCTTCTCTATTTCAATGATTAAATTTCCTTCTGTAGTGCTCTGTCACTCTGGCTCTTTGTTCCTCTTGCTGTCTCTCTGAATTGTAAACCATGGGGAAAGAGAATTTAGTCCATCTGTCCCCTCCAACGTGGCTCTAGCACCCTGCTGGGACTACATGGCAAATGCCCAGATTTGCTGTCTTCTGCCAGACGGACATGCACGCAGATACACATACTAGAAATGTTTTACAGATAGAGCATTGTAATATACTAAATATACAGGAAAAAACTGATTTATTTCTGTTGCATGGATATTTACACTGCAATGTATTTGCAGTTTGTAGAAGAAAGTGAGCTTTGTTTAATTTAGATCAGGTTTACAGGGTAATGTCTTGACTGATCCCTCATTTCTTTATACATGGGTGCAGCGAGTTATAAAAATGTGCAAAAATACACGAAAATCCTGAATATAAGGCAAAAAGAGAGTTTGTACAGTTCTAATGAGCTTGAAAGTGAATACATGGTATGACCACCTTTATGCTTCAACACAGCCTGAACTCTCATAGGCAGCTTTCTTGTCATTTCTTTAATTAGCCATCAGGAATAGTTCTCTTGGCTTCTTGAAGGACATTCCTGAAGTCTTTTTTGGAGAGCAGGTAAACCAAAAAATTCAAATTTGGATTAATCACAACATCAGACTTGTTGCTACAGATTTTTCTCCCTGTTTCCCTTCGTTAATAATGTCTTCTTGACAGCCGCTGTACCACTGAAATCACTTCTGATAAGGCTTCAGTGAGCAGTAGAACTGAAGGGCCACATGCATCTCTCAGGTCTTAGTCGATTAGTTAGATTTTTTTCTGTTTTTTACACACAAATGGCTTTTCGATACTGCTTGCCTACTAGAGAAAGGTGTGACATTTCTTCTCATGTCCCCTACTTGTCGTGGATCCATATTTTTTTAAGGACACACCAAGCCGAGATATGCCAAGTTTTCAGCTAATAGCTCTTTGGGAGTCTGCTTGGTGGTGCAAAAAATACAATTTTATGCACGTCAGACTGTGTTATCTTTAGTATTTTTAGTAGAATCATCTAAAGAAATGAGAACAAATGATGTGTTTTTGTGACAGGCTGCTAGTGAAAAAGTGCCTAAAGCTACAATTTAAAATCGCTTCTTTGCTGCTAAGTTAGCAGTGGTTCATGCCATTAGGTGTTTTTTTTATACTTACAAAAAGTGGGCAAAAAAGTATTCCTGTGAAAATGTTCACGCACAAGGACCGATAATCAGTGATGAAGCATCCAGAGAAACAAATGTGGGGAACTATTGCTCAAGGGCGCTTTAAAATATGACGCAAACTATAAACAAGTGAGAGGAGGTGTCTTAAGACTTTTGCACACTACTGCATGTTCAGATTCAAGGTCAGTGGCTACACATTAAACACGGTGTTTAATGAAAGAAGCTGTTGTGAATCTTTTTAACGTCGTTGTTGAAAAGAATAAAACCTTCATCAATGGGAACTATTTTTATAACAAATTCATTTGTATTGTTTTTGTTGAGATTTGGGATGCCTGGCCTCAACTTACCTGTTTGACGTTTGACTTTGACGTTTTATTGTGCTCCTCTTCGCCGTGTTTTCTACTTTCGCCTGAGGTCACCTGAAAAATTAAGATGAAAACTCGTCTTCCCCGCTGTCGCCAAGTGCTTTCTCATCATCATCATCATCGTTTGAAATCATAGGGGCTCTCTCTCTGCTGAGCTCACCATGAAATATAAAGCTCCTTGAGATGACTGTTGTGATATAGATAAAATGCTCCGCTCTTTAAAAATACAGGGCATAGTGCTGGTAGGTGTGGTTAGTTTTGCAAACTCGCAAACTAAGAGATGATATCCAGCTGCAGGTAATTTACTAACAGGACAGGCACACAACAAATCAGAAAACCATATAAATACAGGGGATACGCGTGCATGTTAAATGTAGGCCTATGGTGATAATCTGGCAGACAGTCGTTTGAATGGAAACAGGCTCGAGTCATTCAGACAGGCTCTGATCTAGGACTGTAAACTGCACAGCAGTATTTTAGCCTTGTGTTCTGTAGCGTTCTTGTATTAAGACAACTTCCATATAGATAACATATCTGCGATATGTAACTCATGGAGAGTCAAAGTATGTGCAGCTAAAAACAGTCATGTTGTTAGATCTCACGAGATCAGGCGAAAACCTCGTGCGCTGTCCATGGTCCTGAAATTCTAGTGTAATAAAACTGCATTAAAGAAAGGTTTTTTTTTCCTTTATTAAGGGAAGTTTTTCAGTTCATTAATGTAAATGAGTGTAAGAAGTTTTGTTGCTGCTGGTATTGCGTGACTCCCTTAGGTTGGAGGATCCAGGTCATCTTTGAGTTCACTGAGCAAATTTAGAATTCAGCTGGCTGGGTCATCTATACGGTTTTACGTCTTTACGTCTACGTATCCTCTGCAGCCATATCAAGTTCAGAAATTGAGACATGCTTTTTATCTGCGTTTAATATTAGCTCAATTATCAGCAAAGTGCAAGTTGCAAATCAGTTTGTGCACATGATTTAAATATTATTCTCCCTATAGTGACGTTCATATGCAACAGTCACATAAACCTCTGAGTTCTCACTTTTTACTCACAGTCGTGTCATTGCACTCCTTTTACACCAAAGCTCAGTTTGTGCTGGAGCAACATGTTAGCAAATCTGGTGTTTGGACATTGAAGTCCTTCAGTACCACATCTGACTTACAAACATACAACCGTCTGTTGAGAATTTGAGAATGATGTCTTTTTGGTCTGAAGTTACCATCTACCACTTCTTCACTCCCGACTATGTTTCCCCTTTCTCTGTCTCTCTCACAGCAGGCAGGACAATCAGTCCTGTAGGACATCAGATGCACAGTCCTCAACAGAGTCCAGCTACCTGCAGGCTGTGGACAGTCAGGGTGTCCCTCTGTGTCTCTCCTGCCAGCAGCCCTGCTCTACCACAGGTGGAGCGTGGGACACTCGATTCTGCAGCCACAGGTATTGCAACACTAACTACATACAGTTAGAGGAAAAGCTACGGGCTAAACTGGACATTTCCAACTTGTAATAACTTGAGAATTGCTCAAAAAGTTCTGGAGCAGATTTGTAGATAATATAGATCTCAGTGCACCTGATGTGCGAGGTCTACTGCAACAGCAGTGTCTTTGATTAGATGTCAGCCAAACAAAAACATATTAAATCAACTTTTACACAGTTTGGGAGGTTTTTCCCCCCCAAGCTTCCCTGTACTCATTGTCCTCTGCGCAGAAGCCCACCCATCTGGCACCAAAAAATTCAATTATATTCAGAGCTTTAAGAGTTTGTGTGCAAAACAAACTCAGAAACACAGCAGTACAATGTTGACTTCACCCTGTTGTTTACTTTCTTTGTAGAAAGAATACTGTTTGCTCAAGACTAAAATAGATTAGACTTCAACTCTTGCATCTATAATGGTCTTTTTTCCAAATCTTTTCCTGTAAATTTTTTGGGGGGGAATCAGTCAAATTTGGTCTTTACCAAACTTGATACCATTACCAATGTAAAATAAAGGTTTTTTATGGAAAATCTAAAGCAAACCTATTTCGGTTTAGTTTTTCTGGAGATGCTGCACCTTTTCCTGGCAGTCTTAATTCGATGAAATGGTTTTCAAAAGCCAGCTTCTGTTTTTTAACCAACATGAGAAAAACTTTCTATGTGAATGATTTTTATAATAGAAAGAAGTTAATCACAAGTTTCTTTCTGTAGTGCAGATGTTTCTATGTGCTTTGACCCACAGGTGTCAGGAGGAGTTCCAGTTGCGCTCCAGCCAGACTTACATGCGGTCTCAGGTGTTGGAGGCAGAGCGCGGCATCTGTCAGCACTGCGGCCTCCACGCCCATGACCTGTTCATTAAGGTTCGTGATGCTCCACCCTCCCAGCGAAAGGAGATCCTGGAGAACACTTGGCTCACCCAGCTGCCACTCAAACAGGTGGGACATAGAGCAGAGGAGGCACTGTTTCGTATTTGTCTCTCATCCATGTTTCAGGAAAACTCCACCAATGAGCTGAAGAAACATTATTTTTT